TCAGAGAATTAACCAAGGTGGAAACCCTGCACCTCCATACGTCACACCGGGAATGTACCGTTAGAGTTCCCGACTTGCCATATTGGTTCTTCTTCGTCTTTGTTTCGTGTCAAGAGTGTGATTGATTGTCTTGTTTCATTTCCAGTTCATGAATTTCTTTGAATTTGAATTAATTTCTCAGACGCGACCTGCAACTGGAATTTCATATGATATGCTATCGTATATATGTGTAACAGTCGACGGTATTATACCTAAAGATAAAACGTCCGTTGACTTCGTATTCAATAATAAATGATTTAATGTGATTTCGGTCTGAGACTGATCGAACCCTTGGAGACAACAATTTTAATTAAGACTGTCAATTCACAAAACAAGAGTATAGGATAACTTGATCAACAAGTTGAAATTAAATAAGCTGCTTATAGCTCAGTTTGTTAAGAATGTTTATTGTTGAACCCAAAGTTCTGTGTATGAATCCTCTTCCCCCCAATACCACTTGTATCATGTGGTTAAAACGGTTTACCTTTACACCCAAATTCACTTATAAGTTCTAGAGAAATTTTTAATTGTGACGGGAACATGGGTAGTACACCACGTGTTTTTATGTAAGTGGTGGCAAATTTATTTTTTAAGTTATTAACTTTTTTAACACACATATCCCATAATTTGTATAATAATATGTAATGTACCACCTTGTATACCAATCACACTGAAAAATCGCTCATAAGTTCTGGGTTGGCTTCGGAAAACACAAGTCAACATCTTGGAGCCCAATTCCTCAATATCAGTCATGAATTTGCCATCTCCTCAATTCACCCTAGTGTGGTGTTTTTCCCTTGATGAAACTGAATCTCAGTCATCGAAGCACGCTTATCCTCAACATAATATGCTTGGTTTTGTTGGTACTAATGAAAATTTTCAGATTTCTAAGCGCAATAGGAGCATGCTGATAACGTGTTGTGGCGTATATTTAACTGACACGTGACAGGGAGAGGGGGCTGGCAGCACATAGAAAATATAGAGAGATGTGGTTGTAGGGTTGTGTAAAGGATGTGTTATTATAGTGCCTTTATTTATAGTAATAAGAGAGAAAAATCTTTCTTCTCCAAGGAATACAAGTCCTAATAAGGAAGAATAACTAGAATTAAATCTAATTTAAGATTCACACAATCACACTTAATAAGAAGTTCATAACAAATATATATATATATATGTATGTATATATATATGTATATGTATATGTATATATATATATGTATATGTATATATATGTATATGTATTTATATGTTGCACAGGTGATATTGCCAATGCTCAGAAAATGAACAAGTAGAAATCCTGCACCTCCATATGTCACGCAGGGCACCACTGACCCGTTAGAGTAAGAGAACTAGCTCCGGCTTCCTTCTAGGTTCTTCAATTTTCCACTCTCTAATCACGAGTCACGACCTGCAAGTGGAATTTCATTGCTGAAGTTGTTGAGTTCATATGATAATTTACTTGAATTCTATATCTGTTCGAGACTGATCAAAGCCTTGGAAATAGAATTATTGATAACCACTCTGTCAATGCACATAACAAGAGAAGTATAACTTGATCAACAGTTACAATATAACTTGATCAACAGTTAATACAATACAAGGGGGTGTTTGCATGTACCCCAAGTGGTTAGGAGTGTTTGCAGTACTTATGGTTCGTTGGCACGTGATGATCCTGAAAGTTCACAGAAAATAAAGAGAAGACCAAATAACACCATATATAGTTGAAATTGGAAATTAACTATCTTGAAGGCCTAACTAGGAATTTTCTTGATTCATTATCTTCATATACATTTTTATTTTCAAATTGCAAACAATCTTCAAACAAATGATGACGGAACACTGCTACGCCTTCAAATATCAATCTACCACAGTCAGACTCTGATACTCTTCGCTGGAGATGGCTAGTTCCATGATAAGCTCCGGGTGAACTTCCTCCTCGTAATTCAAGAATAGCTTCATCAAATTCTTAGAGTAGCCACTCAACACCCCTCGTTGTGTATTAGACACCGGTGTAGAACTCGAGGGCCTCAGATTCCAAAACACAATCTGTGGCACCGCTTCCCCGTACCCTTTTTCCTTAAACTTTCTTTGTATTGCCTCATAATCAGTTTCCCAGCTATTACTCGAAGCCTGATCGAACTCCATGTCGCTGAACACGAAGATCCTTTTGATCATATGCTCTGGCTTCAATCTCCCATTCTACAGCCACTTGAAGAATCAAATCAAACACCTTCTGGAAATCCGTGTTCATGCCCCATTCCATCTCCCTAATAAACTTTCACTTGGACCGAAGATCATCCCCTTTTATCAAATGCAGTTGAGGCTGCTGACTGAAAGTGATAATCTTTCCTTTCCATGGCTCCTCGTCCAATTCAGACACCAAAAGTCCCAGCGCCACCAACACGTCCATTGGACTTGCATTGTCACGGAATGTGTCTAGATGGGTCGAGATACCATACATACTTCCGGTTCCGGACCATCCACCCATGCTTCCAGACCATCCATCCATACTTCCAGACCTTCCAACCATACTTTCAGACACGTCACACACAGCTAAGCAGTTCTTCATCTTGCCCTGCTTTAGCAAATCATCAACCATTCTCTGCCATTGAAGTGAAGCCACTTCATAATCCTCTTCCGCACAAGCTTGACCATAATAGTTGCCAATATTGAGCTGGGCTACGATCTCATGCGGCAGCAATCCACCGGCAGCAATCTTGGCCTTGCTGGCTTTCACATCCTCTAAATACTTCCTGAACCGCTCTCCGTCATGCTCCAAAAACTTACCCTTGTAACGTTTCATGGCCACGGATGCCACTCGGTTGTAAGGAATTGAGTCCCACTGTTTGGCAGCTATGTAAATCCCAGGCAAATCCATGGCCTTCCTCAAAGGCACCAAAATCTTCTTCCTCAGCCGGTGCCTGACTTTATGCAAGTACTCTTCCTCCTCTATTCCTGGGTATTCAGGGTATGATTCTCTCGGGAAAAGGTCCTTGCAATGCTCTCACAGAGCAACGTGGAGCGGTCAAATGAGGCGTTGAGGGAAGGGCACCACTTCGCCGCTAGGGTTATCTCCTTTTACTTTGAAGAGGATGACGTATCTTTCAGGGAATCAATATCAGTCTTCAAGCACTCCACAAAGAGATCTGAAACCCGCTCATGTAGGAACTGAAACTCTGGGTCTCGCTCATAAGTCTCGATTGCCTTCTTCGCCATGGCGACGGTCTTCTCTTTTGGTTTTTCTTTTCTCAATTTCTCTCTCTCTCCGTTGCAATCATTTTCATTTCTGATTAAGCGGGAGGGGGAGCTGATGTCATCGTGTAATTAGTCTTAGTATTCCAACCGCGCGCTGCCGATGCGGCTGCAACTCCGACCGACCGCTCTTTCCACCGCATCCACTTGGCCTTTTGGACCTCCCTCACGTCGGGGCCTTCCAAAACCCTGTACATAATTTCGAGGAGGACTTTGAAATACCCGAACTCCGCAAAGGATGCAACGTTACAACCTAGGGTTTTTGGGTGGTTGTGGAAGAGCCAATAGGCTGCCGTGTAGAAAACCTTCCCTACCAGACTTCCCCGTGCCACGGACCTCCACGGAGGTTGCAAATGAGCTTGAGGGTTGTTAGGGGATCGTGGGACCAAGCCATGGGAAGCTGTTGGCAGATGTACGAGGCCGGGGTGTCGGGTACGACGTGGAAGAAGAAATCAAGGCAGGAATTGCCGGAGGAGAGATAGGTGGGCGAATTGTTCTCTGTCTTTCCAAAGGAAGAGAGTTTAGCGTGATTACAGTGTCGTTGAAATTGTTGACCATGAGGTCTACGAAGGGGTCGTTGGGTCGGGTACATTGTAATTCTGGGGTGGAACTGGTGGCGGAGGATCGAGCTCTGGAGGACCAAGAAGAAGGGTTGAAGGAGCAGCCGCTGCTGATCTTGTGACATGAGGAGGAGGTGACATGATATTTACCCCTCTTTTATAGGAGCTAGGTTACTTGGGCTCCAAGACTCATAATTAAGATGTGATTTTGCTCCATTTCTATTTCTTCATGCATGTTTCCTATTAAAATTAACAAATGAGGGATTTGAAAAAAAAAATTATTTAAAACGAAGATTATTTAGTTATTCAAATGTTTATTCGAGACAGATTTATTTGATATATTTAGATCATTAAACTTACTTGATAATTTGGATGACAATATGTATGTTTAAAACAAAAAAAGGTAAAGCTGAAATTGTTCCAAGAAATTTTAATTGTATAGTGTTTTAAACAAACTGAAGGTTGTGAATTAAAAAATAATAATAATAAATAAATAAATAAATAAAAACCATTACAAAACTCCAAAACACATTCAACATTCCAACTTTTTTGTAATTAGAAAACTTGCATTAAAATCGATTTTGATTCTTAGTTTGTTTTGGTCAAATAATAAAATTCTTAGTTTTTACTAGGTTCCATAATACTATTATTAGTCATGTTTATACTTTTCTAAGGACAATTCTTAACTAGGTTGAACAACTGTAATAAGGAGGCAGATTCTCTGCCTCTCACTTCCTGTGCCCTCCCGTGTCTTCTGTTTGTGTGGTCATGGTTAAACCACGTCAACATTTTATATTACTATTCATTTTTATCTTATTATCTACTATAAAAAATAATATAAAATGTTAACGTAGCTTAACCGTGACCACATAAAACAGAAGGTCAAAGAAAGTGGGAGGGTAGAGAATCTGCCTTCCTGTAATAAACCTATAAAAGTATACTTTGCTATAATGTTGTTTGCCACTTTTTAAAGTCGATTTGCCAAGTCAAATTGAACCACGCTCATGTAGGGGCAAATTAATTTGTGCACAAATTAGTAAAATACTGCTGGCAGCAACAAAAGATGCAATACAATTTAAAAGGTTACAGATACTCTTTATCTTTTATTGTACAAATTTTAAATCTTTGAATGCGTTTACTTTCCTTGGAAAAGTACAAAGTCGGTCGGTTTCGTTGTTGATCTTTAAAAGTCCTTGGAGCCCAAGTAACGCTCCTTCTATATAAACTCACATCACGAACCTCCAAAAACCCATCAGTCGATCCACCCATCGATCAGATCACATCCCAAAAGCCCCCTCTGCAAAACCCCAATTTCGTACAATCCCGTACCACCAATGGCTCCTCCAAGTCTCCTCGGTCCTCCGGAGCTCAGGGCCCCAACCCCACCACCCCAAGCACAACCAGTAGCCCTATCCGGCAACCCATTCGTCGACCTCATGGTCACCAATTACAATGATGCCGCCAAGGTTCCGGTGATCGCACCTCTGATGGGATACACCGAGAACGGCGCCTCCACGTTCCTCAACTCCGGCAACCCCTGTGTCGATTTCTTCTTCCACGTCGTGCCCACCACCCCCACCTCCTATTTCAACACCCAACTCCCACTCGCCTGGGCACACGACGACCTGACCACCCTCAAGCTCATTTGCAACCTCTGCGGCGTGCGGGGAACCGGAAAGTCCGACAAGGAGGGGTTCTACACGGCGGCGTTTTGGCTCCACAAACACCACCCCAAAACCCTCGCCTGCAACGTCGCATCCTTCGCCGAGTTTGGGTACTTTAAGGACCTGCCGGAGATCATGTATCGCCTTCTAGAAGGAGAAGACGTGAGAAAGAAGCAAAAGGCAGAGTGGAATATCAGGAAAAGCGGGGCGGGTCGAACTAGGAGGGGTAGGAGGATGCGAGGCCACGGTCGGCCTTTACGCTATGAACCGCCACCATCAACCTACGGTAATTCACCATTCTATTCAGCACCACCTTCACCTTCACCATACGGTGGCTATTCAGCACCACATCAGCACCCGTGGGGTCTGAAACCACCATTCAGCGGCGGCCGCGGCCGCAGGTCAAGTAATAGAAAATATGGTCGAGGGGATGGGCAATCTAAAGAGGCAAGGATACAAATGGCAAAGGAAAGGGCACAATCAGAGAAGGAAAAGGCGAGCGTTTTGAGGAATGAGAAGAAGGCTGCCATGGCCAAGAAAGCCATTGTAAGGTACGAGCGTGACCCTGATTTCCGATTTCTGTACGAGAGGGTTTCGGACCTTTTCGCAGAGTGTTTGAAGTCCGATATGGAAAATTTCAAGGCCAATCAGTACAGGAAGATCAGCCTAGCAGCCAAGTGGTGCCCTTCAATTGATTCCTCCTTCGATAAGGCCACTCTGTTGTGCGAAAGCATTGCCAAGAAGGTTTTCCCGAGAGAATCGTACCTGGAGTACGAAGGAGTTGAGGAGGCACATTATGCGTACAAAGTGAGAGACCGACTGAGGAAGGAGGTGTTGGTGCCGCTGAGGAAGGTATTGGAGTTGTCGGAGGTTTATATCGGTGCTAATCAGTGGGGTTTGATTCCTTACAACCGAGTGGCCTCTGTGGCCATGAAGTTTTACAAGGAGAAATTTTTGAAGCACAACGAGGAGAGGTTTAAGAAGTATTTGGCAGATGTTAAGGCCGGAAAGTCCACCATTGCTGCGGGTGCTCTGCTTCCGCACGAGCTCATAGAGTCTCTGAATCATGGAGATGGCGGTCAGGTGGCCGAACTCCAATGGAAGAGAATGGTGGATGATCTGTTGAAGCAAGGGAAGATGAAGAACTGTTTGGCTGTGTGTGACGTCTCCGGCAGCATGAATGGGACCCCTATGGAGGTTTCCGTGGCTTTGGGATTGTTGGTGTCCGAACTGATTGATGAGCCATGGAAGGGGAAGGTCATCACTTTCAGCCACAACCCTCAGCTGCATCAGATACAAGGCCATGATCTAAGCTCCAAGTGCAACTTTATAAGGACGATGGAATGGGGACACAACACGAATTTCCAAAAGGTGTTTGATTTGATTCTCCAAGTCGCGGTGAACGGGAAATTGAAGCCGAAGCAGATGATAAAGCGGATCTTCGTGTTTAGCGACATGGAGTTTGATCAGGCTTCAACTAGCGGGCCTTGGGAGACCGATTACCAGGCTATACAGAGGAAGAATACTGAGAAAGGGTACGGGAATGCGGTGCCGCAGATTATCTTTTGGAATCTGAGGCATTCGAAGTCTACGCCAATGCCGAGCAACCAACCAGGAGTGGCATTGTTGAGTGGCTTCTCCAAGAATTTGATGAAGCTGTTCTTGGACAACGAGGGAGAAGTTCGCCCGGACCTTGTCATGGAAGCAGCCATCTGTGGGGAAGAATATCAGAAGCTTGCCGTGCTGGATTGATCAGTTCATCTGATGTTCCTCTTCCCATTGTAAAAATTTACCCAAAAAAGCAAAATCGAAAACAAAGAAAAAAGTTGTATTTCTAGGCTCCATCATATGAATTCCAAATTACTTTGATTTTTTCTATATAACATCTTTGGTTCTTATAATCGCAAGACCTCTAATTTCATCTTTTATGGCTTCAACAAAGTTACAAAACATACTGAGTCTTCTTGAAGCGTCTCACATCCAGTCTAATGATTTTAGGAAGATAATGTATTCCGTAATCAACCTTAACGATGAATGAAAATTAAACCGGTTTAGACATTCATTTTTCATTCATTATTAGGGAAAATGTGCATTTTTATTAACTAGAAATTTATATAACCTTATTGGAGTGATATGATCCGTTTATTTTTAAACCCGATTTTTTTTTTTTTTCAAATCCCCATTTCCATATCGTTCGGAAAAAAGAAATAAGTTTAAGGGATCAAAGTGTAAAACGGATTGCTATTTTTCTCTTAAGTGTAAAACTATATCTACATTTTTTATTTTGTCAAAAAATTAAATCAATATTTTTATTTATTTGATTAATTTCCCCAATTTTCAATTGGTAAATTCTAAAATCTAAAAGCCCGCGGCTAAGCGGCTGAGCGGCTTGCCCCTCATCTTCTTCCTCGCCTTTCAGCAGTAGGGTTTAATACCTCTATTCCTCAAAACCTTCAGCAAATCAAACAAGAAATATGAACGTTGCTGCTTCCCTATCATCCATCGCCACCGTCCGCTTCCCCAATTGCCACCGCTGCTTCGGCTTCTCAAAACCCCTAATTCAATCTCCGTCGCTTTGGATAATGGCCCAATTCTCGTCATCGCAATCTCCCTCCGCGGCGCCGGAAACCGCGGTTGTGGAAGCCAAGGCGCCGCCCAAGCAGCGGTGGCTCATCGTCGGCCTCGGAAACCCCGGGAAGAAATACAACAGCACCCGCCACAATGTCCGTACGGCCCCTCTTTCGAATTGACACACAAAGTTCAATACTTTGATCCTCATACTTGTGTTAAATCTTGTTATTTGATTACCCAATTGTTCAAATTTCGTAATTTTTGAAATCTAAAGATTGCAATTTATGGTGGTGATGTTTTCGCAGGTGGGTTTTGAGATGGTGGATGCCATTGCTGAAGCTGAAGGGATACCTATGAGCAGTGTTTCTTTCAAAGCCCTTGTTGGAAAAGGTTTGTTTGCTTAAATTTAGTTATCTATTTCAAATTTACAAGATTCCATTTGGAGAAGTTTTGTTATGCTGATTGTGTGATTATCTGCACTTGGTGAAATATCGTTTGATTACGGATGATTATCTGCACTTGGAGAGTTATGTTGGTTGTGTTTCTTTCCAAACCGCAACTATATTCGCTAACATTGTTCTATCGCGTTCACTCTCGCATAATGTTCTGCATGTATCTTTCGTATGTCTCGACCATTTACAATATCATGTTGTTATGAGTTTATGGCTACTTTATGGAGCTTACGGATGAATAGTTCTTTACTTTGTTTTCAAGATTCCAAGCTGTTAGGGAAAGTTATAATCTTCATTGAGCTTTGTTTTCATGTTCTCCAGGTCTTATTGGGGATGTTCCGGTTATATTTGCCAAACCACAAACTTACATGAATAAAAGCGGTGAGTCTGTAAGTAAACTATCTCAAAATTTGTCTTGATGCTTTTATATGTTTCGGTGATAATTGGTTGATAATTGGACTCTTCTGTTGAAGGTTGGATCCATTGTTTCGTATTACAAGATTCCATTGAAGCAAGTACTTGTGGTGCAGTTTCTCTCCTTTACTTAATCACTAATATTTTATCTCTCTCTCTCTCTCTCTCTCTCTCTCTCTCTCTCTCATTTTCCCTCCCCGAGTCAGAGTGTCCTGTTTCTCTGCCATGCTCTAAGTTTGTGGTTCCCGTTTTCAGATATTTGATGATCTAGATCTTCCCTTTGGAAAACTGCGGATGTTGCCGAAAGGTGGACATGGAGGACACAATGGGTAATTATACAATGCCACCATAGTAGTCTGTTGTTGCTAATATAGCAGTTTTTCTGTTAGATTTAACTCAATCAGTAAAGGGAAATAGAATTCAAAATGGCATAATGATTCTTGATTGGTTCCTATCATCTGCTTTCTGTTGCAGGATGAGGAGTGTCATTGATCACTTTAAAGGGAGTCGAGATTTTCCTCGTTTAAGAATCGGTACTTTCCCTAGACCACCAAAAGTGTTTCTCTAGTACTTCTTTATATATTACGCATTAAGGAAAAAGAACTTCATATGTTACCTTTGTCATTAAATTGGTGAAATTTGTATAGGCATTGGACGCCCTCCTGGGAAAATGGATCCTGTCAACTTTGTTCTTCGTCCATTTACTAAACAAGAACAACAGGAGGTTTGTAAAGTTTCTAATGCAACCTCTAGAGAGGCTTATGTATAGATTGCATTGGTGATTCTAACTACTAGAAATACTTTTCAGCTGAATTTTACGTTTCAAGAAGGTGTAGAAGCGGTGCGTATTCTTTTGCTTGAGGGGTTCAACAAAAGCGCAACTTTTGTTAATAGTGCCAAACCCTTGGAACAATGCGGTTAAATTGCTTCGTCTGTTATCTTGAGACTCGTATTATTTCAAGGTTTCTCAATTTGGCGAACCATCATTGCATTCATTCTTTTCTGGTGGTGACGCCGACTCACAAACGCTAGCTGAAGATTTATACAGAGCCTCCATAGGAATTATGCGGTCCAGAGTGGTTCCAACGTCCCTTCGCTGAAGGTGCAGCTGCAGCTATTCATTTGATAAGAACTATCATACTCTGAGAATTAGCATACTTGTAATTTTATCAGAAGTTCATTGTTGCTGTTTTATTTTTCCCATTTTTTTTGTTTTACATATCTTGGATCTATGCAATTTATGTAGTCTGAATCTTTTCTTATCAAATAAATTTTAGCTATTTAAATGCTTTTTCCAACGTTTTGGGTTTTCACCTTAATTAAAGCCATGCCATTGAAGGGTTTAGGTGGAGAAAAATTTACGTAGAACAGGTTCACAACAGAATTCTTGTCCAATAATGTAATGTCGTGTGAAGAAAATTTACTCATAGCAATGCATTATTTGATTGAGACATTACGTTGAAGGTGAACCCTTTCTACTTAAATTATTCTTATGTGAAGAGGTCCAGGTAATTTCATGAGTCTTTGGAACGCTCACCTACCTTTTGTAAGACTTGTGGTTTGACTTATGTTTTCTACTTCATCCCTTTCAAATCTATGTGCTGGGTTCCAACATCTACTGGTGAAAAGTTTGTCATGAATCTCGTGATGCAAACTACTGTTCTTTTTTAACATATAGATGCTTCCGTAACTGAATGTAAGAAAGTTGAATATGGATTGAGATATACTCCGGATCTCTATGTCTGGACCTTGCGGACGGAGAGATCCGGACGGCTTCATTTTAGTCTTACAGCCATCATTATTTCATTCCAATTGACCCATTTTACAAAACACTCAAATATTGAACGGTCTGGATATATCTATCTTTTAAACGGTTCGGATCTCTCATCTGCGGACTTTGGACACAAAGATTCAGGTCGAATCTCATTCTGTTGAGTATAACACTATGTTTTTTCTTTGTAATTAAGTTCGAAAAGTTTTCTTGTAGTTTTAATTAAATTAGAATGTTGCTTGAATAAAACGTCTCCACACTAGGGTTTTCTCTGCTGGTCTTGGGACCCTCCTATAATTGTATTTCAGCTAAATTGTATGGCATTTAGATGGCTATAATCAAAAGCTAGGTAGGGTATACCAAATTTCTATGGTTTTAATCCTGATTCTTTCAAAATATCTGGGTACTTTGACTATTTCCTTTATCTCTATTTCACTAATTAATCATCAAAATAATACTAATTAAGAAATAGTTATTTTTCTTGCAAAAAGTAGTTAATTTTCCAACTTCTGACTTCTAAATAGGAAAAATAAGGTCTCGTTTGAACTGTTTTTAAAATGACAGAAAACGTTTTTTTTGTGAAAATATTTTTGAAACCAATCTTTAGTAAATGTACAACTGAATCTTGGAAAAAGCACATAACTGGTGTTTTTTACAAGAAGCACTTTAGGTGCTTTTAAAACCCGAAACATTTTATCATTTTAAAAACACTTCTAAACGAATCCTAATTCAATAATATTACCTATGACCTGTTCAACCGTGATTAAGATAATCTAAGTTGGGTTGGGCATATATCAACAAGATGCATTCCCATTCGTCGAGGCCCCAACCAGATAAAGACCAGCTTGCCGACATTACGGGAGCAATTTACATAAAACGGAAGAACTATTTTTGTGACGTTCTCGCTCAATAACATGATGTCATATGCACATTTTCCCCGCCAATCACACAACACGTTCCAAGTCTCCAAGATATGCTAAACCAGCACGAAGTATCACTAATCAACTTTGTCGTTAATGAACATTGTAACACGTAAATCAGTAGCGTGAGGTTTCTATCGGAGGACGTTGTCTTCCACTACTTCCACAGGAGCCAAGAGGACGTTGTCTTCCACTACTTCCATAGGAGAGATCTACCTACGTTGTCGTCCACTTCCGAAAGTGGAGCCTACGATCCATGTGATCTATAACCCCACCAGAAGTCACAGACGAAGGATAGAAAAAGCTAATCATTTGTAAGAAGAGATTTTTTAGTGTGTTGGAAACACGATTCGGTACATCAAGTGTAATAATATAATTGTATAGAAATTTGAAGACAAAAAAATTCAACCAAGTGTATTATTATGCTTGGTGTGCTGAACCATGTTTCCAACGTACTAAAAAATCTCTTCTTACGGAAAGTTAACTTTTTTCTATCCTTCATCTGTAATTTCTGAAAAAAATTCAACTAATTATATTATAATACTTTATATACTAAACCTATTACTGGCACTCTAAAAATTTCTTGCCAGTAAGATCGTTTATTAGCTAACGCTCCAAAAATCACATGCAAAAACACACGGTCAGAGAGGGACAGGACGCCACCAAAATATCAATTCCACGTGGCACACATGCAGGCCTGTTACGACGTATCCCCACTTTTGGTATTATTGTATGGCCTATTAATAGCTCTTAAATATGAGAGATTTATTAACTTGCCTGAAATACAGTTTGGAATATTAAACGTAACAATATAATTGGTCAGATATTTAAAAAAAAATTAATTAATTATATTAAAACATTTGGTATATCTAATCGTTTTTTTTATACTCAAATATGTTTTATGAACTCATTTAAAACCCGCACCAGCAATTCAACCATATTTCTCGGCTAAAAACCCTAAGAAAAAGACACTCTACTCAAAATTTATGTATGTCACCCACTCTCGTCCACCTCTCACCTATACGTATACATACATTAAATATCCCACCTGCCTCTGTATATGTTATTTTCGAGACCAATTAATACGTATCACACTGCTACATTATTGTATAATACTAAAATACAGTTACCAAGTTGACACTTAATCAGTCAGATGACATAACTAATCCACAACTACGTTAATGTTTCTTATTAGTAGTACTAAACACAATCTGGGTTTAATGTTTTTTAGTTGTAGTACTACGTACAGCCACGTGACCTACTCATGCTATAATAGATACACTAGTTATACTATACTTTGTCCATGAATTAATTTGTCGTTTATATTATAATACGTAAACTAATTATATCACATCCGTGAATTGGTAGTGTTGCTTATTATGATATGGAAGTAGATGCAACTTTATGACATTTGAACTAGTTATACAGCATTCGTATTTCAATATCATACAATACCGCAACAACTTTACGATCACCTTCTTTATCACTTATCAAATTTACGAGGGATAAACAGCTAGTTGCACAATAATTTCATGTCACGATCCGAACCTAATACCTAAACAGCCCGAGTCCGACCCTACGTTTTTAAACTTTTCTTAACATTTATTTGGCGAGAATCCCACGCGTTTGTTCGCCAAATCGTAGCTGACACGTGTCCCTTGCTGCTGGACGTTCCCAATGATAGACAGCGACGACGACGTCGGTGCGAAAGCGAAGCAAAACGTCCCCGCGGAGTCCACAGGAATCAAGTAGTTCTTCGCGGGAAGGCTCAGAGACTTCCCGCCAGAAAACTGAAACGCCACCGTTGGGACCTGCACCCTGGTCCGCGACGACAGGTCGTAGCACGTGTCGAACAGCGCGAAGCTGCTTGCTGTCGGCAGGTCACGGGTATATCTCTTGAACGCGTCGCGGAGCGAGTTGTACGCCTGAGTCTGCAACCGAGTTATGGCTGTTCCCGAGTCGACGATGATCCCGCCGTTTCCGGACTCGTCCACTGCGAAGAGCGACGGCGGGACGGAGACCGGCTGACCGCCGACGCTGAATCCGGTGAGGCCCACGTAGTAAAACGTGCTGACTTTTCCGCTCTGAAGTAACGGCGCCGTGACCGAGTCTGCCGGTGGGGCGGAGTTGAACTCCAGAGTCGACGACGCGGACGAGTCGCGGTTCACCAAACAGTACGAAAACGACGACGCTTTGAACTGGGAGGTAAGTGAGAGGGGCCCACCGCCGAGGCCGAGTAATCCGGCAGCCCCGACAAATAATCCCTCATTATCGTGTCCGCATCCCAGCGAGATTTTGTTAATCGAGCCCGAGTTACCAAACGACAGCGTTTCGGTGACGTAATCGCCGACGGTGTAGGACCCGTCGCCGTACGACACCTGATAGAGGCACTTATTGGCGCGGCAGGCGGACACCTCGAGGGCCTGGCATTGCGGCGCGTCGCACGTGAGCTGGCTGTAGCTGGAGGATCCGGCGGGGTTGAAAACAGGGTCGGATTGCTGGTAGCAGTCGGAGCAGGGGTCGCACTGGAGCCAGTTGACGTCGCTGCCGGTGTCCGGAACCATGTAGAACGACTTCGCCGGTGTCCCGACGCCAATCCGGGAGAAGTACTCTCCGCTGCCCTGGCTGATGCCGGAGACGACGGGGGTGGAGAGGTCCTGGGGTAGGATCTTGGCGTGCATGGGCTCGAGATCCCATTTTTTGATCCCCTGGAGTGCCAGCTGGAGCTTGCTGTGGAGCGAGTGGACTCGGGCCGAGTCGCGGTAGAGTCTGGTGCGGGTGAGGGATTTGTAGTCCTTGTGCTGGGAATTGAAGAGGGCGTCCCGGGGGTGGAGCTGGAGGGATAAGGCGGAGGAGTTGAGGGGTCGGGATTCCTGGGATTGGGACTCCAGGGGCTTGAGGGATTCGGGGTCGAAGGATAGGACGGCGTGGGCTTGGCGGAGGGAGGCGGAGACGTCGAGGAAGGTGGCGGTTTCGGATTCGGGTAGGGTGCGGGAGAGTGAAGTGAGTGTGAAGAATGCTGAGAAAAAGGCCAAGTAGAAAAACGTCTTCTGAGCCATTTTTGCAGAAAGCAGAGAGCTGAGGCTGCTCAGAGAGATGAGTGGGAAGTGAGAGTGGGAGTTGGATTTTATTTAGCAGCAGACCTAGAGAGAGAGAGAGAGAGAGAGGTATGCCCACGTAAAGATTGAAGAGCAGTAAAGTAGGAACTGGGAAGTGGACTGGGACAGGGACCCAACTTTATTTGGATTCTGGCGTCCATCGCTAATTTTAATTAATTCATGGGTGAAAATGGATATAAATTTCACGCCGTCTAATAAGTTGGCTTGTCCGATCATTGAATGTCGATAAGTATGTGGCTACATTACCGGCTTTGAGTATGTTGTTCACATTACTAACACTAATGAACATACCATCAGTAGTTTTGACGTGGTCATGTTTCCCGATAACGTACATGGTAACTTATGACGTGACGTTATCTTATTACTCTCCTCGTTAGAGCTAGGACATATTTATAACTTTGAGTCGGAATAACTTACACGTACTATCTAATTGTCATCTGCACATGTATGGATTTACGGTAAAATTTACAAATCACACATCATCGAAGACTGCTAGCAAAGAGACTTGAACCTTAATGAGGTGACACACAAGGCACGGATTTTATCAACTGAGCCAACTCTTAATGAGAAAATAATATTTTTACTTGCTTGCAAATTCAATATATTTAAAGTCGAACTATCCAGTAGTTTAGAAATTGAAGACTTATTGGTAAGGAGGAGTTACTTATAAATCTCTGTGTTTTTTTTTTTTTAACTTTAATTTATTTTGCAGAAATGGAAAATGGAAAATACTCTTTTTCAAAATTATGCTTATGTGCTTTTTTAGTGGCAGAAGTGTCGGGAGTCTTTCGCTTCTTTGTGTTGCGTTTTGCATTTCTTTTCTCCTCCTTGTTGGGCGCAAAGGTTAAAGTCTGGTGGTTGATTTCAGCTCATGATGAGATTAAAGGTGGTATTAATAATTGAAGTCAAGATCTACTGCTTTTTCAAAAGACATACAGCTAAAGAAATAATTTTGCGTAAGAAATAATCTTTTCCCGTTGTATATCTTTCATTACGTAATTTATTTATGTACATAAATCTTTCGTTACATGCATATAGAAGTAATCTTTTCTCGCCTTATATCCTTCATCATGTAATTTTTTTGTATACACAAATCTTTCGTTACATGATTTAGTTACACGCATAAACCTCTCATTACGTGATTCTGCATGCAAATAAAAGTCTCTGTTACCTATCGATGGCAAGTGATACGGGGAAGAACATGATGTCATTTTGTAAAAACCTAATTGAAGAATACTCAATTTTACTTGACTTTTGCATATATATCATCTTCTTATTTATCATTATCTGTTAGTTATAATAATTATCAATCCACGATTACACACATTTTATGATAAACTAGTAGTACGGTTTAACGGTATTTTACTTCATTAGTAAGTAAGAGATTTCAAATTTAACTCACATGAACACAATGAAGTATTATATATATTTATGTCGTGTTATACCTAGCTAATGGCTAACCCATTATGTCGCCTAACTTTGTTTCCCGCCTCTTAGAGTAAATTAATATCCTTCTCATAGAGCAAATGTTTCATTTAAAAGGAAGAGTGGATGCGCATTGGCATCAAGATTAATAACTCCATATTCTTATTGGATCTAGATTCTCTCCCCTCCTATTTGAACGCTCAAAATTAAGTTACATCATTATCTTGTTTTACCTTCTTTGTAGAGAAAGAAATAAGAAGAGGAAACTGAGTGAGAATAGGAGGCAGGGAATGGAAAAGGACGAGAGAGAATCGAACTCCATTCTCATTTGTGAATCACATCAAATCATAGGTCAATTTTCGAATCTTAATTCTTGTTTATTAAGCTAGATGCTTCTAAGACTCTCTATAAAATAACTTTGTCCTACTCACTGATTACATTACATGTAAAAGCATTTTAGTCGATGCAACAGAATCATGCAACTGGGACGTAGATATCAGTATCATATCAGATAGGGATATATAACAATATTTTCAAGCGAATGAAGCACGACCACTTATTAGCAAAGCAAGTTTGCACCGTTGATTTGGATGATTGGAGTAGTAGCAAGATTACAAGACTTTAGATTTTACTAGCTCATAATAAGTTTGGTTTGTTTCTTTCACGAGTTTTGACGAGTTGAGTACATGTTGAACTTAATACAAGCTCGAACTGTTTCGAGTCAATTCATAATCTTACGTGTGAAAAGAATCGTAAACCAAAAAACAACCAAATGATGAAATCGAACTTGAAAGTTTTTGTTCAATCTTATGATCTCTAACCTACTTCCTTATTTCTTATTAGTCTTTATATGCTACTAGCTTTATAAAAAGGTGATCCCAAGCCAAAAAGACACGCTTTGTGAGAATCGCGGTGCAAGTAGAGGGTGGGGAGAGCGTCTATCCTACGCAGTCTTACCCATACTTTGCAAAAAAGTTGTTTCCACGACTTTAACCTGTGACATTTTGATCACAAATAAGCAACCTTTTTTTTACATGTACTTGAGATTAATTGTTTTTCGTATTACATTAAATAAGGTGGTTTAATAGTTTCTCTTGTCATCATTTGTTAGGTGGCATGCATTTGGTTATTCTGGTTATTGTGTTGTAAGAATGGTTTCCATGTCTACTTAGAAATGCCTTCTATGGTTTTCATGTCATCAATTTAACGAAGGATTATGAGGTCAAATAATTAAAAAGCATAGAATTACACAAGTCCAAAACATTAAAGCGTATGGGATAATGTCAGAAACCTGAAACCATGTGCCCATTTTAAAAACCAATATAAACCTAGAGTGTGAACCGTATTACTATTTAAAAATAATAATGAGTTTAAAGGGCTTGTAGCTCAGTTGATAAGTCGTTCCACCCTCGTACTTGCGTATCTAAGTTCCATTTTTTTTTTAAGTTGTAAAGGGCCGTGATTGCAGTAACATACTTGATCCACTAATTTAAGAATTTGTCATGGGCCTGCGGCCCGCTTATCAATTACGTCCTCTTCCTGCAAATATAGCCGTTACCTTTATTCTTCTACAAGGGAGGGAGTTTAAAACAATTGTAAGCAAACCAAAATGAAAGCTTCAAAACCAATATCTCCCTTCAGGCTCTGCTCCCTCCTCCGTCGAGAGAAGAACCCGAATCTCGCTCTCCAAATCTTCCAAAACCCAAACCCTGATTCGAATCCTCCGCCCAGAAAGCTCTTTCGCTACTCTCTCCTTTCCTACGACCTCATCATCACCAAGCTCGGCCGCGCCAAAATGTTCGACCAGATGGAGCAAATCCTCCATCAAATGAAGCAAGAAACCCGTTTCGCTCCACCAGAAATAATCTTCTGCAATGTCATTTCGTTCTACGGTCGGGCTCGTCTTCCCGACCGTGCACTCCAATTGTTCGATGAAATTCCCGCTTTCCGTTGCCAACGGACGGTGAAATCGTTGAATTCGCTGCTGGATGCGCTTTTCAAGTGCGGGGAGTTTGAGAAAATGAGGAGATTTTTTGGGGGTTTTGAGATTTACGCGACCCCAGATGCGTGTACTTATAATATATTGATCAAAGCTTGTTGTGCGAATGAGTGCTTGGATGATGCGTGGAAGGTGTTCGATGAAATGTCTATGAAGGGTGTTCGTCCGACTACGGTGACGTTTGGAACTTTGATTTACTGGCTTTGTTCAAATTTCAGGTTGAAAGAAGCTTTTAAGTTGAAATACGATATGGTGGCGATTCATGGTGTTGTGCCTGATCTATACGTGTATACCTCTTTGATCAAAGGGCTTTGTAAGATTGGTGAAATGACTTCGGCTTTTGAGCTGAAAGAGGAGATGGTAACGAAGAAAATCAAACCCGATTCAGCCGTTTATTCAACTTTAATCAGCGGGCTTTTCAATGCTGGTCGGAAAGAAGAGGTTTCAGGCTCTTGGAGGAAATGACTGAGTACGGGTGTAAACCAGATACTGTGACGTTTAATACAATGATTCACGGGTTGTGTAAAGAGAAGAACTTCGAAGCAGCATATAGAGTTTTGGATGAGATGACGGAGAAAGGTTGTGAGCCAGATGTTATTAGTTACAATGTAATTATCGGTGGATTATGCAGGGATGGGAAATGGATGGAAGCAAATGATTTGCTCGAAGATTTACCACGACGAGGGTGCACTCCTGATGTGGTATCATACCGAACGATGTTCGATGGACTTTGCCATTGGAGGCAGTTCAATGAAGCATCCCTCGTTTTAGACGAGATGATCTTCAAGGGCTTTGCGCCTCGGCTTGCAAGTACACAGAAACTTGTTGAGGGGTTGTGTGAGGAAGGTAATGCAGAGTTGTTAGGGACGGTTTTAACTAGTCTGAGAATGGGAAAGGGGAGTTTTCTTCATGTGGATATCTGGGGAATGTTGATTGATATGGTTTGCAAGAAGGAGAAGCTTTCAAATGTCTCTAAGCTTGTAGATAATTTAGTAATGCAATGTAGCAATTGATTTTGTGGCCATGCCAATAAGATAAAATTGGGTTTTGCTCAAGTGAAGACATTCTGATACAACGTCACATGTAAGTTACTAGTCATGTAGATTTCATTGACATATATATTAATAACCATATACTCGAAGCATTAATAGTACTTGTTTGTACCATACTTGATCAACCCTGAAACTATTAAGCACCGGTTAATATCATACCTTTAAGGACCCACTGAGGGGTTCATGTTGAGACACTCCTACCGAAGCACAAGAGTTTCCCTCCAACCAGGGGGGCCAATCATAGCACGACATATGTCAACGTCAGAATAAAGCTCATAGAGTCCCACATCGATCGCTGACAAAAGCTGGAGACTCTCCTCAACTATAAAAGAATACCATTCTCCTACAATTAATCTCTAATGTCATTATTGTGCTTAAACTAGTCATTAGAACCCACCAATGATGATTATGCTTAAACTTATGTATTTGTATAAACCCTTTACTATTAATGAAAACTCCTCTCCTCCGTGGACGTAGCCAGACTGAGGGTGAACCATGTACATCTTGTGTTTGCTTCCTTATCTCTATCTCTTTACATATTATCATCACTAGGTGACCGAAGGTCACAAACTTGACACTATAAGTTGTTCCAAAGTCTCGTCAATTTTGTGCATCAACATCACTGATATGAATGACGTACGAATAGTTGTTGATATGCTTATCGATATTGAATAGTCGGAATAGCTAACTGATCAGGCGGTTTGACCTAAAACTTTATGTATTTATAGGGGGTAGAAAAAATTTAAATACATAATATTTGTTTTACCCACATGATATCCCCGTTATTCGTTTGGAATACTATGCCGACATGGATGCTTTAGCCACCCAATGGATGATTGAATGACAATATTTGTTTTAAGTTTTAACCTAAAGATGACATATTTTGAACCCCCAAAACAAATTTAGACAGCGACCTGTTAATAAGACTCGGAAGTAAATCAACTTGTAAAGAAAAATTTGAAGGCCAAGGTCGATATGGGGGACGTAGCTCATATGGTAGAGCGCTCGCTTCGCATGCGAGAGGCACGGGGTTCGATTCCCCGCGTCTCCAGCCCTTTCTCCTATTTTGTTTATCTTTTATTTCCGCAGTAATCTCTGTCTTCGCACATCTCATGGAGCCGTTCCTGAAGTCTGTTTTTCAAATTTACTTTGAACAAACCCTTCACAATAATCATCTGAAATCATCTGAAAAACGTTTTTCAAAAACATAATTCAAAAACAATCGTGCAACTGTGCAAGAAAAAGGACCCTTCCTTTTTCTGGAACCAGATTTTGGCTGGAAAAGGAGTGGAGCTGCTATTGAAAATGCAGACATGTCCTCACCTAGTAGTGCCAGTTGTTTACTCTTTTTCTCCTTTTTTCTTTGATAATTCCCAACTAACCCGCCACTATTAAACTGATACAGATTTTGAGAGTTGTTCCATGTCGAAAAAAAGTTTTGACTTCATTTTTAAATAATATTAATCTTGTTTCTATGATCAATTGATTTTTAGTTGAATGTTCACGTTTTAATAACAAATACCCTTCTATTCGATCGTTGTCTTTCAAAAGATAAGTAAGGGACAGAGATGGGGAAGGAGGAGTTTTGGGAGTAAAGCCTCCGGATTTTAAAGTTGCTAGAATAATCTATATCTATCTGTGCACTCAAGTTTGAATCTTCTTCCTATTAGTTTAAAAGTATAGTATAGAACATCGCCTGTATCAACTACTCATTGATAAATGATTGGTATCATAATTTACATCGTTGTGTTTAGCTAGATGGAATAACTAATAGGTTTGTGATCTAAAAACTGCAATTCTTTGTGTAATTATTTTGTTTATGAACTATGATGATACTAGCTAATAAACTCTAGCAGTAGTCTTAACATCCATCACCGGCGGGCTCAACGGAGCTTAGAAGACCGTTGCCTCGGAGCTGCATGCAGTGATCTTCTGCATCCACCTGAGCACACACAATTACGACGGCCAGGCCGTTGTGATGCGCCTCCTGTATGACGTTCACCGCAATGTCAACCGTCATTCCCGGGATGACCTTCATCAGAACTTGCACAACGTACTCCCTCTTGTTATAGTTGTCATTGTGCAGCATCACTCGGTACGGTGGAGACATTTTCCTTGATTTCCTGACGAAAATTTGATCAAGGAAAAGCTAAGTAAATTAAACTTTCTAATGTTAATCACATGATTTATACATGCAATAGAGCAAAAGGTTGCTAAAACAGTTTCTAACCTTCAAATATTGATTCACTAACAAGAGGCCTTGTTGCTCAGTTGCGTTAAGAGCTTTCTAGCCTTATACTCGAGGTCTTGAGTTCGACTCTTCCTTTGGAACTTGACATGTTTCTTCCTTTCTTTGAAAGCTTTAAACTTCAATTACTTAGTTTGTACTGAGCTGAGTTTAAGGTTGGGGATGAAGAATTCCAATCCCAAACACGAATTTGACCTTAAACTTCTACTTAATTTACGGGTTTCACTTCCATGCTTCTATTCAATTTTCAAGGCAGGAGAACATCATTCCCTTAATTGTACTGAGCTGAGTCATACTTTAACACTCTTCAAGATGCTAGATATGATGTTGGGATTTCAAGAATTTTCGTTCCACACACAAATTTTACCCTAGTATATTTGGACGAGGGGCTTCAAAGTACCATGAAACTTTAGACACAATTGTTAAAAACGCACTGACACGACAAAGTTAGTTCTAAAACACTACAACGCACTACAGACACTAAACAAAACTTTCCAAGGTGTTACTGAAAAGTTTTCACAAATATATTGCATCTAATCATTTCAAAACTTCTATTTTATTTTTGTAGTGCATTCCTGATAAGTTTAGCGTAAGTTCTATAAATCTTTAAATCTCTCGTCAAAGCACACCATAGATTTCTAGTTTATTTACCTCACGTCAAACTCGGAGTCACGACTAGGAGTTGTTTTCTCTATGGTTGGCTTGTCCAACACCCCACCACCTGTGCCAAGCCTGGTGCTTGATGTTGTCATCAAGATGCTCCGATTTGGACTTTGTCTATGAAAATAATGTTTATCACCTGTTACATAGTCAATAATTAAACCTTGAGTTAATCAAATGTTTACTGAGCAACATAGGAATATTAAAGAAATAAAAATTATCTATATTGGCAATGCCAAATAACATGTACTTCCAGTTAATCACACTTCACATATTTTATTTTTCATACATGACAGTGAGTAATTGATTTGAGATATCACTTCTGCAAACACCATGTGCATGAAGTTTTCTTAATGTTCACTGCTAAGAGTTCAAAATTATAGCACAACTCAACTTGCAGAAAACCTACATATTGCTCCTAAGAAAATGCATAAAATAGTTTCAGGCTTTCAGCCGTCAAACCTAATCATCCACGTATTACGCATAATTAATTAACTTGAAATATCGTTAACTTGCACGAAACCTACATGTTGTACCTAAAGCAAATGCATAAAATAGGTTTCAACCATCCATCCCCACAAATGGATGCAAACTTGATACAAAATACAAAATTTGTGCCTAAGAGATTCAACTTTTTGCTCAAAAACGAAAGAACTCAGAAACAAGACTTACCTGATTTGGTGAGATTGAATCCATGGTTTGTCGAAAGAGGGACTCGACCGCAGATGGCAGCCATGAGCCTCTCTCTCTCTCTCTCTCTCTCTCTCTCTCTCTCAAACTCAGTGTTTGTGCCACAAAAGACTAGAAGAGAGAAGGTGGGGCATGTACAGATTGTGTGTTAAGTGGTGGTGTTAGTTAACGACACGTCGTATGAGAATCATATTCTGTGGAAAATATCCCGTTCTGGGCTGTGTGTGGCACTGAAAGTCTCTGGGAGGAGAGACAAAGTACGTGTGTGATGATCATGGAAAGCGATGTTTAACCAATGTTGCCAGGATTAGTAGTAAATTATTGACCTCGGTAAGAAAGCAACTGTGTTTTTAAGCCAAAACTAAGGAGAAAAACTTTAACACGACTATCCGTTTGAGAGTATTAATTTGCTGTAATCAGCCAATTCTACGAACTATCTTCTAACAAACAAATTAAAAGTCAAAAGAAGTTTAAAAGAACGAAATCACCCTAACAGTGCGAGTGACTCAATGACAAGAAGTTCTCCAAATCATCCTAGCAGTCGAAAGCAACAACTACCTACACACAAATAAAAAAAAGAGATGATTTTCTACATATCATTCTTTAGCCGTTGGATCATAAAAATTTAACAAAGACCTTTCATATGTAACTGAGCATTGACGACAGAAGTTGATGTGTTTTAACTGTAAATATATCAAATTTTTAATAGATCAGTACCACCACGCAATACTGCAACCTTGTAATACAATCTCACCTAATAATTTATCTGCTTCTAATCTTCCAACTTAATAATTAACTTTCATTTGAAATCTCACAAAAACTTTACTTAAATAATAAAAATATTAATCCTATGACAAATATTTAATAAGATAACGTATGCATGTCTGCCACTATCTATATTTTAACAGCTTGTGTCACTCCACACTGACAATATTCCCAGTTTGCCATGGAACTCCTCTGTCTACAGTCCTTCCTCCTCTTCCTCTTCCTCTTCCTCTCCATCTATCTTTACTTCCACTTCTTCGCTTCGTCGAAGAAATACAAACACACCGGCTTCAAATTCTACCCGATTATCGGAACCCTACCGGAATTCCTAAAAAACCGCCACCGGTTTCTCGAATGGACAACCGAAATCCTCATCAACTGCCCCACCAGCACCGCCATCTTCAGCCGCCCAGTCAAAATCCGTGGCATCATCACCGCCAACCCTGCCAACGTCGAGCACATGCTGAAAACCAACTTCAAAAACTACCCGAAGGCGAAAGGGTCATATCCCTCCTTCAAGGCTTTCTCGGCGGCGGAATCTTCAACTCCGACGGCGAGCTCTGGATGGTCCAGAGGAAGACCGCCAGCTACGCCTTCAACACGAAATCGCTCCGGAACTTCGTGATGGAAAACGTTAGGT